GAAAAAAACCCCACAAAACCAAAAAAAAAAAAAACAAAAAAAAAAAACCCACCCGAGGTCTCCGGTGCGCGCTTTCGGCAGGCAGGGGGATTAAAAATAGCTGGTGGAGCTCGAAATCGGAGGCAGCATTCCTTCCCTAATGAGTGTAATTAGCGGAGTGGGGATGCGAGCGTGTTTCCCTGGCTGTTCCCTGCGTCTTTGCCTGTCTCCCAGCGCCAGCCTGCCTCTGCTCTTCCACAGGCTTTTGGGAAACGTTTTCCCGCTTCCAGGAGCAGCCGGGGCAGGAGCTGTCCTTGGGAGCAGCTCTCGACATGCACTTCAGCCGCCTTAAGCTCTCCCTCCACCTCTGTCTCAAAGTAGAGGGGTTCAGACAGGATTAAATCCCAAACACACATCCCGAGCCCTCCGGGGCTTGGCAAAGCAAAGCAAAGACAAGTCGGATTTGGGACCTTGTTTTTTTTTTTTTCTCTTTTCCTCCCGCAGCTCATTGCTACCCATCCACTTCAGCTCTCCTAAATCCCGAGCTGTCAGTGTAACAACGGGTGATTCAGTGGGGATTTAGCCAGGCTTGGGCGCCAGATCCTCCTCCCGTGGCAGAGCCCGACCCGGCATGAGCAGGGCATTACCTCACCTTCCACCGGGCTGCTCCCCCGTGGGGACACAGGAGGTCCTTTTTGGGGGGACAAAGACCATCCCTTCTCTCTGCACTGTGGGCAGCCCCCTAAACGACCCCTTAAACCCGATTCTAAGTGTTAATTTTGGCCGCAGCGATCGAGGTGGGATGAGTTCGGAGCAGGGTCCATCCCACACGTCCTTCCCCTGAACAGGGACGGGGCTACAGATGAGGGCAACACCCTGGGAGGTGTGTTGGGCAGCTCATTAACTGCTGGGCCTAATGAGCTGCTTGGCTGGGTTGTCCACACGGGGAGGGTTTGGATGGGGTGATGTGTTGGATCTGGAGCAGGCCAGGAGCAGTCAGGGGGGGCTGTGCTGCCCCTCAGCATCTGCTCCAGCTCTGACATTGTGCTCACTTGGGCTTCTTTTTTTTTTTAATTGTCTTGATGTCCCTCATTTGCATAATCCCCAGAATGCAGCGCAGCAGGACTTTTGCTCTGAGCTAATAAATAGATGACAAAAATAAATGTGTCATGTAAGATTTGCTTCCGTTTCCTTGCCTTTGTGAGTGAGCTCCCACCAAGGAATGGTGCTTCGGGGGGGTTGGTCTCCCAGGAACTGTCAGCCTGGCCTGCCACGGGGCCACAGCTTTGCCAGATGTTTGGCTGAAGTTGTCTGCTGGGAGCAGGAGGAAAAGGTGGCTGTGGAACACGTGGATGTGCTCCTGGCAACCTGGACCCTCTGAAGCTCTTCCCCAAAATGACCCCACTACAAAAATGCCACCCAGGCCACCAAAAAGTTCATCGCTGTGTTCATGCCTTGTTTGCATCCAGCGACAGGCAGGTGCTTGGGGTGCCTTATTTTTAAAGTATTTACTTCAAAATCACTGAGCACTGTGGTTTCCTCTCCTCCCTAATGCCCTGACCAGCTCTCCTCTGGTGGTGGAGTTGTACTACTTAGGAAATTAGTTCCCTGAGCTGGGAAAAAGAATAATTGCCCTGCCATGAATATCCAAGTGGACTCATGAGGCTGAAAAGGTGCCATGTGTTTGCTACAGGATTATTTCCCCCTGGTTTTACAGGAATTTATTCATCCCCTCGTAGAACTTGGCCGGAATGCCAGAGATCCCACCCAAAAACAGCCTTAAGAGGCTCTGAGTTTTAACACGTGGGCTGTGGTTATCACTGGCTCTCTGCATCCTGGGAAATCTTTGCTTCACAACTGGGTGTTTTCCCGGGATGGAAGCTCAGCTGGAAGTGAGAGAGGTGCCGAGTGAGGGGGTCAGACCTGGAATGCCAGGTCTGGGAAGCCACTGGGGTTTGGATCTGACAGAGGACAGCAATGAGACTCAGCAGGTTCCTGAAGCAGGGATGGTTCCTTTGCAGAGGTGCTGGCGGCTCTGGAGATCACACCTCGTGCATTCCAGCAGTTGGTACTCCTTTTTCTTCCCACAGCCCCGTGATTCTGGAGGATTCTCAGCTCTGACAGAAAAACACTGTAGCATTTCCAACTGTGCTGTTTGTTGAGAAAAGCCTGAAAACATGAAACCCGAAGGGTAAAGGCTACGAGAAGAAATACAGACCCAAGAATTGGTGAGCTTGGGTTGTTTTTTTTTCTTTTAAACCCCTGCCCAATTTTAAATCACTTTTATGACTGTACATAAATGCTTTGTGCCAGGTGAGTGCTCGAGCCTGGTGTCACAGCAGAGAGGTGGATTCATCACTGCTGGTCAGGCTGCACTTTCCCAAACGCTCAGGTCAGGCTGTGGAAGGAGCTCATCAACCTCACTTGGCATTGAACAGGTCCAGAGATGAGGCTCTGGGCTCAGGAACTGGGCTCACCAGTGGGAGATCTGCCCGTGTGTGGGAGGTGGGATGTGTTTGCAGCAAGCTGGGCTGGCAGCTGGGGTGCCCAGGGCTGCTGGGCTGCCTCAGCCCCGAGGAGGAGACGCACGTGCAGGTGGACACTGGTGGGAGAAGCAAAGGAAGAACAGGAGACACGGAGCAAAGGCAGAGGAGGAGGGAGAGGTGAGCTGTGGAGAGAGGCTGGATCGGGACTCTGGCTGTGGTGAGGCCCGGTGGGAGAGCTTTCCACCACGGGAAAAGGAATTCCACCTGCAACAAGCCCTCTACCAGCTCATCCCAGCAGCAAGGTCTGCACCCCTGATGGTCTGGGCCAGGCTCAGCTGCTCCCCAGCCTGAGCACCAGATCCATGTGGTGGGATGAGACAGTGCAGTGCTGGGACACGGGAAGGCAGAGAACCACGAGCATGGAAAGCAGAGAAAACCAGCAGGAGCTGTGGAAATGAGCTGAGGTACAGGAGGACTGTGGCACATCCCTCCAGGATGCAGAAAATAATTTTCCCTTTCCCCAAAGCACCAGTGAGGGAGGATGGGATCATCCATCTTCATTACATCAGCAGAATAGGCTCTGTCAGGTTACACTGGAAAACCAATCAATATTCCCTGTGGCCTCGCTGGCCACAGTTCCCACCACTCCAGGAGGAGCCACAGGACCAGGAGACACGAGCTTGGGTGCTCAGGCTCTGCTCCCTGGGCAACACACGTCCCCATGGGACTGGGGGGGACACAGAGATACCCAGTTATTGCCACACACTGTCCACACACTCCTGATTCTTTAAACAAGCTCACACTCTTCCTCATCCAGCTCCCCACCTGTTTTTGCTTTCCCGTTGCCATAAAATCCTGAGACCTGGCCCTGGATTTTTCTGTAGGCAACAGAACAAACCTCCTGCAACAAAACCCCACAACAGCACATCTAATCAGGGAGCAAAACTCACCCAGGAAAGATTTATTGTCCCAGTTGCCACCACACAAATCCGCTTGGGTTGCAAACCCAACTCGCACACGGAGCTCGGACAAGGAGCAGGGCACTGCCCTCCCCTCCAGGGATCAGCCCTGCCCAGGTGGGCATCTCCTGGAGATGGGCCCAGCAGCATTCCCACTGTCTGATTGTGAGAAGACAGACCCCTGGAATGGGAGACCCTCAGGGCAGACAGGACCCTGACCACCACGTGGGTTCTTGGATTTTTCTACATGTGTCTGTGGGACCCCCCACAACTGGGGGTCCTCCACTGGAGGTAACTGCCCAGCAGCAAGAAGCCCACATATCTGGCCTGGCCCCTCTATGCCCACCCTACAGACCCTTCCTGGGGCAGGAATGGGGGGCTGGAGAGCTCCTCCCTGCCCTGGGGAGCTTCACTCCCTCCGTTTCCAAGGCAGCTCTCAGAGCAGTCGCTCCCGCCTCGTGCCCGGGCTCCTGCTGCAACAAAAGTCTCTCCCAAGGCAAGACAAGCCCCATCCATCTTGCTCCCAACGCGGCCACACGACTAAAAATAAGCCAATAAAGCAGCAATCACCTTGGAGCAGCAGCAGCAGCAGCTCTATTACAGCAGAGGAGCCGTGGCAGCTGCGCCCCAACCCCCGGCACGGAGCCAGGACCCCAGGAACCCCCCCCGCCCTGATTTCCCCCCTGCCACGGTGGGATGGTGGTGGGAGCAGCCTGGCAGCACCTGCTGCTGCCCCACAGCCCTGGCTCTGCCTCTCTGGGCTTCTCCTGGCTGCCCCATGGCACCTCTGCATGTGCTGGGGACGGCTCTGAGCTCCTGGCACCGATCCTGGGGAGCAGGAGAAGGGGGGGCTTCCTACAGAGGTGGGCTGAGAGAACTGGGGCTGTTCAGCCTGGAGAAGAGAAGGTTGTGTGGAGACCTCACAGCACCTGAAGGGGCTGTAAAGAAGCTTGGGAGGGTCTCTTCCTCAGGAACTGGAGTGGCAGGACAAAGAGTACGGGGTGCAAACTGACAGAGGGGAAATTTAGGTTAGATACAGGGAAGGAATTCTTCCCTGGGAGGGTGGGGAGGCCCTGGCACAGGTTGCCCAGAGAAACTGTGGCTGCCCCATCCCTGGAAGTGTCCAAGGCCAGGTTGGAACAACCTGGGCCAGTGGAAGGTGTCCCTGTCCATGGCAGGGGGTGCACTGGATGAGCTTTAAGGTCCCTTCCAACCCAAACCATTCTGTGATTATTGCAGAGTTTGGGTGACCCCCCAGCACCCCTTTCTGCAGAGAACTGTGAATAAATCAGACACCTCAACCCCGTGTGTGGATCAGCTTCTTGCACACTGGGAGAAAGAACCCAGATTTGGGACAACGACCCCTCCCTTCCTTTCCGTGAGCCTTCAATGATCTGTTAAGAGTTTTGCTCCTCTCTGCTGTCCCCGCAGCTCTCCCCACCCGGATTGCAGGTCCAGGGACCCAGTTCCTGGAGGTTTTTTTTGTCCCTCTCCCCCCGCAGCTGCCGGCCCCGGGGCAGCTCCAGCCCGATGTGATGCGCGGGGTGTTTGCATCTGTTCCCCTTGCAAACGCTCATTCGTCATGTAGATCTCCTGGCATTTTTTTAAAGGGTAGATTAATTTAGGGGAGCTCTCGGATCCAATTTCCCCCGGCAATGGCTCTATTAGGCTGTGCACAGCAGATACAGGCTCCCGTCCTCCTGCTGCTACTGATGGAATTTGATTCCGCGCTGCCAAATCTGCAGGGCTGCAAACACATTCCCACTCCTGATTAATGTGAGTAATTTCTGCTTGAAAGAAGGTTGAAATGAGCAGCCGAGGGGAAGCGAACGGTGAGGGTTCCCCCCAATCCCCCCCCCCTCCCCCGGCGCTCGCTGCTGTTTGCATTTCCCAGCTCGGGAATGGGCGAGCAGATAAACAGACTCGCTGGCCCGGTTTCAGCGCGGCAGAAGGTGCGGGAGGAGGGGGGGGGGGACACCACGGTGGGACCCTGCGGGGGTGGGTGGAGGGACGAGCCGGGGGACCCCCCGCTCCCGGGCCGGGAGGGGAAGGGACCCCCGGCCCCGCGATGCCCGGTCCCGCTTGGGGGGGGGGCGGCACCGGGGGGTGGGACACGCACAGAGTGAAGGGGGGGACACGGGGGGGACACTCGGGGTGCACAAGGGGGGTACATGTGGGTTACACAGGAGGATACACGGGGGGACACGCGGGGATTCCCCGGGGGGTACCTGGGGGGACACAGGGATACCCGGGGGGTGACACGTGGGGTACACGGGAGGATTCGCCGGGGGGGTACCTGGGGGGGCAGAGGGACACCCGGGAGGTAACATGTGGGGTCCACGCCGGGCTCACCGCGTGTGCACAGGAGGGTACACGGGGGGGACGTGGCGGGCACAGGGGGGGGCTTCACTGCGAGGGGGTGGCCGGTGAGGGGAAACTTGAGGGAAAAGGAGGGTCCCGCCCGGGGGTCTGTGGGGAGAGGGGCCCCCCCAGCCCGGCTGTCCCGTCCCTGTGTGCTGCCAGCCAGGGCTCACCCCCCTGCCCCCAGCCTGGTGCCCGGAGTGACACTGGGAGCGGGGTCATTCCGAGAGTCTCCCCAGCCCTGTCCTTCCCTCCTGCCCCACCCACGGCTCTCCAAGTCTCCAAGGGACTCCCTGTTTCCCTGCCGAGCACCCACACCTCCTGCCTGTGATTCCCTCAGCCCCGTCCCCCGGGCTGCTGTGGGACCCGAGATGCCTGCACGGCTCTCCGAGTGGTTTTGGAGAGGCAGAACCAGTTGCCCCGCGGGGACACAGTGAGTACCCCCCGCCTCAGCATCCCTGTCCTGCTCCACATCAGGGTCTTTGGAGGACCAGGAATAACGGGAGCTTTTCCCCAGCGAATCCCTGTCCCCTGTGTCCTCTCCCTCAGGAGCAGCGCTGGCTTTGCCTCTCCTTTTCAATTTATTTTTATAAGGAAGGAAGGAGAGAGAGAGAGAGAGAGAGAGAGTCACATCCTAATCTGGCAAAATGTCAGGGAGTGATTCAGAGAAGAGGCGAGCGGCAGAGAGAGGCAGCCCACACAGGAGACTTGTTTCTGATTTCCAAATGTCAGCATGTCCTTTAATTAAATGCTGATTAACAGGGGACGTGCTCCCTTGTGCCGGAGCCGGGGCTGCGAACGCCGGCTCCACAGAGAGCCCTGCGGCCGCTCCCACCCCCGGGACGACGGGCAGGCGGGAGAGCCGCGGGAGCCGAGCCAGGAGCAGCCTCATCCCGTGCTTTGCACCGCACCGAGGGCACCCAAAGGCGCCGGTTCAGCTGCTGCTGAAGCCTCTTGCGCCCAGGTCCCCGTTCCTGGCGCAGCCTCCGAGCTGGGACTGCACCTGAGCTTTTCGTCCCCGTGTGGAAGTTGCGCCGGATCTGAGTGAATCTGGATGCAAACCCCCATGTGGATGCTCCTACTTTAGTTCGAGCAGCTCTTTTCCTCCTCGGTTCTGCCTGCTCTCTGCACACTTAAGCCAAGCTGCGAAAATGCTCTTGGATTTGGGATCTCCGCAAACAACTCGTGTGCGGTGTCCCCAAGTGCTGTCGGTCACAATGCTCCTCTTTGTCCTCTCAAGCTGCCTTGGCTTTGAAGTCAGTGGGAGGGTTATCCTTGAGGGGAAGGAGGGTTGGGCTGTGCTCTGGGCTGTGTCGGCCCTGGGGGGGGTGGCAAACCCTCTCTGACCCTGGAAGTGATGAGCAGCTCCCTAAAGAAACAGCCCCCAAGCCCCGGGGCCGACGGATGTGGGATTTGGGATGGACCAGGTGAGTTTGGGCAGCACTGTGCCCCACTGTGTGTACCCACAGCCATTCCTGCCTGCTTTGCACAGGCCCTTGCTAAGTGTGGGCCCTCCTGGTGAACTCTGTGCCCTGGGATGGGTGGTTCCCTAAGCCCAGTTCTAATCAGCCCTTCAGGACAGTTCAGGCTGGTTTGGGGCAGCCCCACACACGAGCAGCGGGTTTATGAGATGGCAGGGGAACACTCTGCTCTGCCCTGAACGCATCTGGCTGACCATAAAAGTGTTCCCAAGAGTCCAAGAGCTCTCCAGACTGCACAGAAACTTTTACCTTGGGCAGCCTCCCTCAGAGACCTGTGTCACACTGTGACAGAGCCACGGAGGTGACAGGGCTGAAGTCACAAGCCAGACATCCCTAAACCTGAAATAGTCTATAATTAAAAACAACCTTTGCAGAGAGGAAAAGCTTTGAGAGGAAAAGCTTTCCATGCTTATGCTCCCATCCCCACGTCCCTCCCAACACCTGCAGAAAGTCTTTCCTCTGTTTCAGTGTCACCTCCAGAGCTGTGGCCTTGGGTGACCAGTGGCTCTGGGTGTCCCATCTCCCTGTTCCCTGTTCTGCTCACAGTGGCTCTGGGTGTCCCATCTCCCTGTTCTGCTCACAGTGGCTCTGGGTGTCCCATCTCCCTGTTCTCGGTGCCATGTGCAGCTCCCAGGGGCTCTGGGTGTCCCATCTCCCTGTTCCCGGTGCCATGTGCAG